TCTGGTACTGCTGAATAATTGAATTACCTTTTTAACAAGTGTACGATTCTGTACATGATTTTTTCTTTCTCTTTGGTTCTTGTAAAATATGATGAGGAGTTGGCGCAGACAATATTTTTTTTTTAAGACAAGGCAACATAAAATCATACAGACGATAAATCTCTGTCAATAGTTTGCTAGAAATTCAACCTAATTTCCACGAATGAGGGCCGGTTTGTCAATCAAGGGATAACTCGCAGAGTTTGTTGGCCCTGGGTTTTTCACTAACTCTGGGCTAACTACCTAGTTAAGTCGAAAGGCCATGCTTTTTTAACCTAGGGCTGGTAAACTCTCGGATTCTTCGAAGGTTGGCATTACTTATGCAACGTTGCCAGCTCAATGTCATTGTTTTTTTTTACATTCCCTGCTCATAACCTGAATTATTTATCTTTTTTTTTTCCTTTTCCGTAGCGGAAAGTATGGTTTCGTGTATTCTGTGTCAAAATATACAAAATACTCGAACTCCCAACAAACCTAAGGTTTGCTGGGAATTCAAGTCTATAGGCTCAATTTGTTCTAGAAGAAATAAAATTGTTTCTTTTCGCAAGCGAAAACGTGCGAAGAAGTCGACGTCTTCGAATGTCTGTTCTCACAGAAATCATAAACCAATCAGAGCGAATTTCATTGGTAGAAAATAATCAGAAAACTGCTTTTTGGCTATTTGTACCAATCAACAAGGCTCTGACTGGTTTGTGATTTCTGTGAGGACAGATCTAAATATCGTCAATGGGATTTGACCGCAATTTTGTGGTAGCAGCGCCGCTCATTCATGTTCTAGAAATTCTAGAACATTTCGATCATCGTCACTAAAATCTAGGTTCACCATCTCTTCACAATATCAAAATCAAAGTCAAAACCCAAAACCAAGGCTTTAAAAAAAAAAAAAAATCAGGTAGAAAATAAGAGAAAATTTTGAGATTAACCCGCTAACTTGCCATGAGAGCGCAAGTTAACTTTGTCCTGGAATACCATTCGAGTTAGCAGTTGACCCTGGATGGATAAACACTTGTCACTACTTTGACCCGTAACTTATGGGGTAACCCTCTATTGATAAACCGGCTATGAGTTGTCTTCGAAAGAAGAAATTTAACTGGCATCTGGCATTCATCATCATATAATCAATCGATTTCACAAACTCCATTCGTCTGCTGATTCCCAATCTCCATTCGCCTCAATCATCTCTATCTCTACCTGCCCGTTAATATTCATTTAGCCCTCAGTTGCGAATTTCATTATCTATACGTTTTCCCTCTCGCCAGATTTTTCTAGATCTTACTCGTTTCCTCCTACCAATGAGTTTCATTGCGAGATTCGTTTTAATACTCGATCCATTTTCGTATTCTGTGGTTCGTGATACTTTCTCCATCCGGGATTTTCTTTCCTGCACATTCCGTTCTTCAATGGGCCTTCTTCAACGTGCCGTCAGACGTTGTCACATATTTATATTTCCCGCATCAGAACTAAATTCGCTGTCGCATATTGCATACTAGATGCTGGTTTCTTCCTTCATATACATGATATTCATAAAGTTTTCTCGAAATTGACTCCCAATGGTTCCAATCTCCAGGATGTTTTACTTCTATGGGTATGTCTTCTATGCTCTTTTCCATATTGTGAGAACTTGTTCCAGATTTATCCTGGAAAGTGAAGGAGAAATACAACAACCTTGTTTAGAGGCTTTATTGATTTTAAATAGGTATTCCAACCGTTGTACCCTTCATGGGTCTATTACAAGAAACGAGACCGGAATATATATTAGATTCTCCAAGACATATTGAAGTACATGAAGAAGTTGAGATATCTGAAGAAACAGTAAAAAAGACTGTTAAGGATCTTGAGTCAGGTATACTCCGAAATGCTAAAACAGGAAACTAAGAAGCTCTTTAGATGTCTCACATATATTAGGTATCAATAAATCCCTTTCTCATTGCTGTCTCATACATACAACCTCCTGACTGCGGGTACAGCACGATCGATCGTATCCACATATATTACGGCAAATAATAGGAAAAAAACACTGAAATATAATAGAGAGGTCTTCCTCGCTTTTATCGAATTTGAGAAAGCGTTTGATACACTAGAAAAATGGGCTTTTAAAAATGCTCTAAGAAGATCACGTATCGACAGCCGATACATACATCAGCTGATCAACGCTTTCTATCGCGATGTTAAACAGTGCCGCAAAAAACTATTGCCTTCGAATGAATGCAGCAAAAACAAAAATAATGTCTAACTCCAACGATGTTACAGATGCTGACCTTGAGAACAACAGTACAATTAAAGTCGTAGACGAATACGTGTACCTTGGACAAAGAATATCGTTCGATAAGCACAGTCAGAGAGCGGAGATATCCAGAAGAATTCAGCTTGGATGTACCGCATATGGAAAACTTAATGATATCCTTAACTCCTTTCCACAATATCTTAAAGCACAAGTGTTTAACCAATGTGTCCTACCGACCTTAACGTACGCTGCAGAAACATGGAGCCTTAATGAGGGTACCGTGGAATGTTTAGGGATTGCCCAAAGGAAAATGGAGAGAAAAATGCTAGGGGTTCGACTACAAGACCGAAAGGCAAACGAATGGATCAGGCAAAAGACAAAAGTTATAGACATTAGACATCGCAGAACGGGTGGTAAGACTAAAATGAAAATGGGCTGGACATCTACTGAGAACAGATGATAATAGGTGGATCAAAAAGGCAACTGAGTGGAGGCCCAGAACAACTAAAAGGAACCCAGGACATCTAAGAACGAGGTGGAAAGATGACATCCAGAAACTGGTGGGTACCCAATGGATGAGTCAGACCATCGACAGAAGTGAATGGCGACGAATTGGAGAGGCTTATGTCCAGAGATGGAACGAAAGAAGCTGAAGATGATGATGATGATGATGAAATGCCTAAATGGATATCCTGTTCGACAAGACTGGAAAACGGCTTGTATATCATATATTTACAAATAAGGAAATAAACTGGACTGCAATAACTATCGGGGCATATCAGTCACAAGCACACTAAGCAGACTATAATGGTAGAATCCTGCGTGATCTCATTGAAGAAGATTATAAAGAGAAAGAAGAAGAAGAGCAGTGCAACTTTAGAGCAGGAAGATAAGGTACAGACAACGTATTTTGCCTAAAGCAAGTCATAAAAAAGAGAGAATCTGCTAGAAATTTGGAACCCACCTCACATTTGTACAACTATGAAAAGCATATGATACAGTCCTAGTATCCAGACTATATGAAAGGTATAAGAACAATCCAACATCAATCACACCTATATAATGGCCCTATATAAAGACACAAAATGTTGTTTAATATGGTCGTTAAAGAACAAATGGAAATAGGCACGATAGTTCAGGACATTGAAAGGATATAACTTACATGGTACGGACACGTAGAACGAATGCCAAATACCAGGTGTCCCAAAAAAGGCTGCATTGGCAACCAGCAGCTAGAAAGAAATGAAGAAAATCAAAACTGGAATGGCAGGAGACCATACAAAAGTCCATGAGTGAAAGAAATTTCTCATCAGAGGATTGCGACGATAGAAGAGGATGGAAATTAGGTGTCGGGCAAGGAGAGAAACAAGAAAGAAAGACGACCGACATATAATATTTCACAGAGATATCTCTATAATTATTGCATCCGTCTTTTCTTCCTTTTTTTGTGAATATCTACATGAAGTTTTCTATTGCTCTAGTACTCTGGTTCAGTCGAAGTATTTCTGCCTGATGGATATTATACCTGATCCAGAAGCTTTTCCATTCTTTAGATTTATGCACATATCAACTTCGGGAAGTGTCAGCGATATCCGGTAGTTCATAGTTTCGATCACATCTGAACTATCTGAAGCTCTGTTCTTCTGTCAGTAGTTTTTTAAAGTGTTGATCCAATTCATAATCGGGCATTGGAGATATATGATATCTTCTTTTTGTTAATTGAATTCTATAGCTACTGGATGTGTCTTCTCTTATAACTTTCTGACTCGGGCTTCTTTGACCATAATGAGTCTATGTTCTACTATCTTTTAGTCCATGATTAATTTTTCTTTGCATTTTCTTATCCATCATTCTTCTCACACTTATTTGTGCGTTGTTGTGATCTCGTTTGTTCGGTACTTCTATTCGACCTAATGTTTTATTTCGGCTTGGTGAATGCTTGTGTTGATAGTTTCGAAGACAATTATAATCAAAAAGCCCTAAAAAACCCAAAGACCCAAAAGTGCCTGAAAATTTCATAGGTACTATTCCAGATGATATTTTAGTTTATACAAGTTAATCTAGGAAGCCTTTTATTGTAATGATTGTTTCCTCTAATCCTTATTATGTTTCTTATGAAATTTGCATAAAAACTGTGAATTTCAGGTTAAAGAAAAATGTGGCAAACTGAAAATCTCATGTGGAGAATAATTATTATGAAACGTCCATTGTGGCGATTAAATGTTAATTTGCTACATTAGCACTTACTCCTAGATCGTTGCGATTTTTATCGTTTCTAAACGACAAATTACGTTCTACTAATTAAAAAAAAAAAACGCGTATAGGAGAGGCCGGAGTGATTTTAGCCAGAACGAAAAAATATTATTTCACCACATTTTTACCCTAGTTTCCCCGAGACACGTTGATAGACCAGAGAGAAAAAAATGATGCTTATCTTTGGCAGTAAGTACCTACCTAGACCCGCAAGCGGCATTTAATCTGAATGCTAATTAATCCAATATGTCGGAATAGTGAAGGCGCTTTGTTAAAAGAAGTGGATTAAATCCGAATGATATTTTCAACTTTTTTTTTTGTAATGGTGAACGGCTTTGAGAGCAACTTATTTGCGTAATTATGTGTAACGAACTTGGATGATATTGTGTTCGGACAGACACAAAAAAAAACTGAGTAATTTGCATTACTTATATAACCTATACGTAATACACCACATGACATGGCAAAGTAGCTAAGTACATACCTGTCAAAATCAGTCAATCTCGAACTATCCCTGAATCCTTTCGCAAAAGGATTCGAATCAATTTTCAATTTCGTAATTAATTGATTCTGGTACGCTGTCACGGCAGTAAAAACGGTTTCAGGAAAAACAAAAGTCCTATATTGTTCCTGTTCCAGATCGGTGATAGGACCAGAATGTTCGCGCCATTTCACTATGTGAATGCGCGGCTGATACCGGTGCATCGAGTTGAGCACAATCTGAAACAATAAAGAATGGGTTTTTATTACCTTCGCATGCTACCATATCTGAGAAAACAAAGATTAATTAACTGTAGACGGTGATTTTTTAATAAAGCAAACACAGATTAAAATACAATTAAATTTTCACAATGTTAATAAATCATGATAATTCTGTGTTGCGATGTTTCCGGATTGTATACGTGTCAAACTTGAGAGGTTAAACCGTAACGTAATGTGGAACGCGGCTCTTTATTATTACCGAAGTTATAAGGCATTACAAGAAAGAAGTTTGAAATAATCATGCACTTTGTGGTCGTTTTGTTAACGGTCTGTAGATTTTGGTAATTGGAGGTTGGGATTGTCGAATATAATGGGAACAGAACAGAGGAGTGTTGTTTCAAACTCAATAATTCTTAGATTTCAAGGTAGTGTAATTAGGTTTTGAAAAATTTCTTCGATCATTCATGTAGATGTTTGTGGTTTTTCTACAAAGTTAAAACGTTCGTTGTTAACTACAAGATGTTACCTGAAAACCAACTTTATTTAGTTAAAATATAGAGAGATGTATTTACAAGACTCAAATGGGAATCACAATTTTCAGAATTCCTGACTTGTGTCGAATCAGGTTTTTCAATGTCCTGTCCAGAACATTTTTTTTTTTTTCAGATTCGTTCGTGAATCACTAAGGGCCGGTATTATAAAGCACTCAACCGATCGTTGAGTTTTAACCTTGGGTTGAATCCTATCAATTTGCATGGAGTCAACCGAAAGTTGAAATTCAACCATTGGTTCAGGGTTTTATAATACCGGCCATAAGAGGATTAAGAGGATTCTGAAGGGATGGAAAACAATGGATTGGACTTCTCTATTGTATTGTTCTTCAACTGGATCTGCTTAGGTCGACATGGTCGTCTCATATCTACAATAGGAGTGAAAGAAGAATCAGAAGTGGATGACATGAACAATGATGGAATACAGAAACAGCTTGCAGATGCAGCGAGAGAAAGTTGCACAGATGTAACGTGCCAAAATTGCCTTTAACTATTTCGCACCTATTTTCAGTTTTCCATTTAAAATTCCTATAGATATTTAATTTTTCCCTGATTTTATTAGGCTTTGTTTACATTTTTACCTTATAAAAATTCAACAAGAATTACAGTAATTGCATATCCTGTAAATTTTCTAATCTTTATTATTTAGATTCTATTTTCACTTATGAGTAGTTCTTGTTATTTTAATTCCATTTTCATGTAGGTAATAGTATATTACATACCGAGTAGGGAAGTGTTTCATTACTGTCGAGAGATTTATATAGTCAATCGAGAGGCGGAGCGTCGAGATTGACTATTAATCTCGAGACATCAATGAAAACTTTCCTTTGAGGTTTGTATACTATTTTATTTGCAAGCACACCATTAACTATGATTAGTCATTCAATTTTTTTAATATAAAAAAATTAAACAAACATGCCAAAATTTGTCATTCACTGTTTTGACGTTTTTACCTAGAACTACTTCCGGAATCCGGTTCCATAAGCACCGGGTTGCTCTCTATTTTATAGTGACAATTAAGTCATGTCAGTTATGATTGGTGTGCCAGCTGATGGCAGAAATGTCGTTCATCTTTATCAATTGGCCTTTCAATTAGTAATGGTTTTGGGATTATCGATTCTTTTGTAAGCGTCCGCGTTTAACAACACGAATCGCTTATTCATTATCGTGTTATTCAACTTATGATTGTTCTAGTGTCTTGTTGTTGTTATTATTAGTCGTCAGCTGTTGTAATTTCTCTCTGAATATATTATGGTGAGCAATTTTTGATACTTAAAATTTTACCGATATATTTTTGACATTTGTCGTTACTTTGCCTCATCTCTATTCCTCAAATCTAGGACAGCTAATCAATTACTTGTGATGAATCTTCCTTTCAGGATTTGGTTGTTCCGAGAAAAGGGTCTCTCTTGAAGAATTTAATTTTTGCCTTCGCCCTAGAGGCGATTTTGGACCTAATTTCCTCAGTTATTGAATTTATGGTACATTGAGTTGCCTTACGTCACGTTACCTTTTCGTAAAGTGCCGTAATTTCACCGATTATTTCGGATTTTTAAAAACCATTTCGGTAAGTTTTGCTTTGCACGTTTTTTCCCACAAGGGATTCTGACCTTCTCTATTTGATCATTAGTGAAAAGCTGCCCTAAGGACTAGCGTAAAGACCACCTCACTCACTCCAGGATTTCGAATCCAGACCTCGATCCAGACTAATCGTATTTTCGAGACAAATAAAACCCATTCCAACAGGTAAGACATAACCTTATAACGACAGATTTACTTTGCAAACTTGAACCACATTTTCTCTCGTTTCGAATATATCTAATTCTGCTTTTTATACACAAATTATTTAAATATTTTTCAAGAGCTATTGATTTACCTAGTAAATTAAGTATCAATGATTGACTAACATTCATTCTCTTGTGGTTCATTTCAAAGTGCCTAGCCGTGGCTAAGGTTAAGTTACAATACAGAGAGGCTACCTCTACCAGAGCTTACACCTTTCTGGACAGTTATACTTTTGTTTTGGTACTGTTGAACCTTACGACTGGTTTGACCATACCAGCTACAACCTGTAACCAGGACCAACCAGGTTAATTGAACCTGCTGCCATCACTTGGAACACATTGGTATCGTAGTAACTTTAGTTTGAGTATTCCTTGCTGTCATTTTATGTTACTAATTTTAATTTTACACATTTTGCTCCTATTTTGTGCGCCAAAGTGATCACCCCACCCCTACTCTCCGAATTGTTTAATTCTGAGCGAGGGCTTAATTTGCACGTATTTTGACCTTTAGTCCTGCAATCAAAAAGGAAGATGGGATAAGAAACGTAACAAGGGAATTGACGAGGCAAAGAAGAAGTCTTCTATGTAATGAAAAACGAAATTCAATGAAATATAAAACCTCATAAGAAATGAAAAACACAAGAAATGAACAAGAACAATACTCCTAAGTGAAAATCTTGTTATCGTCAAATAAAGTTTGGAGCAAGATCAGTAAGGCTATTCAGGAAAACTACAAATCATCAGGAGAAGATAAAGTGCCAGCTGACAACACTGAAATGACCATTCAACCTGTGCCAAAAGACTCAGGAGTCAGAGAAGAATAATAGCAGTATCTTTCGATTTAAAAAAAGGTGATAGGACTGTCAGGACTGATATCAGAAACTACCGTCCCATCTCGTTATTATCCCGAATATTGGAGGTGTTTATGAAAATCATCACCCAAAATAGATAGCTATCAAGCCGGTTCCTAGGAGATCCGCCATGGCTTAAGTACTTCCAAGTATATCCTGACCGTGAAAGTTCTCATAGAAAACAACTATTGCCATCTTCCTCTAGGTCTCGCTTCAGTGGCATATGAGGAAGGTATTGGAGTTATGGGCCATAGAAAGAGCAAAAAACAACTGTCAAATTGGCTCACGAAACAAACAGCGTAATCATATTATTTACAGAAATGGCACATTGATAGTACAACGAAAAGGGTCCACAGTCTACCACTATTACAAAGGAGAGAAGTCAGAGAAGGAGATGGGATGTCATCCAAACATTGGCGAAGGAGAATGCATTCATAAAACTATAGAATATTTTAGAGCGTAAATGGAAATACTTAAATCATCTACGATTCGCCGATGACATTGAACTAATTTCCGAAGTGGTAGAGTTTATGGATAAGCAGTTGGCAAGAGCATCGAAAACAATGGGTTTGAACTGAAGATGAATATGGGGAAAGCAAAAGTGTTGACAAATAACGCCAAAGAATTTCTCGTTGGAAAAAGTCATCAAGTAGCACATTCACTTGGGTCAACTGTATGTCCTGAATTGAATAGATTGAAAAATTCATACATTATGTGTAACGCTCTTTTGTCGTAACAAAAGAATGCTCATAATCTGTGCTCGACTATGCTCAGTGGTTGATTAGCTTGGGGTGGTCCTTGGTGTTGATACAGTAGAGAGAGGGCGCCACTAGTTTGTATAAAATTATTTTGTTTTTAAAAGAATAGCCAAACTAGACACTATTCAAATAGTTAGCTTGTATTTGAAAAGAAAAATTTAAGAATCTGATAAGGTAAAATAAATTCAAAATCCAATAGCTATCTGACATTCTAAGTATATCCTAAGTGTGAAAGTTCTCATAGAAAACAACTAATGCCATCTTCCTGTAGGCCTCGCTTCCGTGGAATATGAGGAAGCCTAGGTATATGATAGCATTGAGTTATAGGCCATGGAAAGGGCAAGAAATAACTGTCGAATTGACTCACAAAACAGACAGCGCATTCATAATATCTACAGAAATGGCACATTGATAGTACAACTGAAAGGGTCCACAGTTCACCAATCCTATTCCAAAGGAGAGAAGTCAGAGAAGGAGATGGGATGTCACCCAAACATTGGCGAAGGAGAATGCATTCATGAAACTATAGAATACTCTAGAATTTCTAGACATAACGTAAATGGGGACACTTAAATCATCTACGATTCGCAGATGAAATTGAACTAATTTCCGAAGCGGTAGAGTTTATGAGTGAGTAGTTGGCAAGAGCATCGGAAACAATGAACTGAACTGAACTGAAGATGATTATGGGGAAAGCAAAAGGGATGACAAATAACGCCGAAGAACTTCTTTTTGGAAAGAGTCATCGAGTAGCACATTCACTTGGGTCAACTGTATGTCCTGAATTGAATAGATTGGAAAATTCATACATTATGGAGAAAGTAACTCATAAGCATCTTCGATGAAAAGGCTACAGGGGAAGACAAAAAGGTAAGAATCTGTGGGGAGTACAAAGTTAATCTAAACCCTGTATCTAGAACAGGGCATTATCCTTTTAGAAATCTCTAATGAGTAAGAGAAAGGTGTCAAATGATTTGCAAGATGCTGATCAACAACTAGAACTATTACAGTATTTCAGCACAAACTGACTGGAACTTTTACGTCGCGACTGAATCAATGAATATATCGAAGACA